AGTTTTGCAGATTTCCTCCTAATATTTTAAAACCTTTTTTTTTTTTTCAAATGTGACAATTTTTGGTTTTGTTTGTTAGGTGTTTCCTGGCAACACAGTCCATGTTTCTGAATTCAATTGTGTTTGCATTTAGAAATGACTTGAAATAATAAAATAAAAAAAAATTAAAAATAAAGTGCAGCACTAGCTATTTTCCATCTACCTATTTTTATGCGCATTTTGGATATGCGCATTTGATGGAGTTGATGGAAACGCCAAGATGTGCAAACATTTTGAATGTGCATAACAAACATAAGCGCATGACTAAGTAGGATAAACCATTTTATTCAATAACAAAAAACGAGCAAAAACTGCAATGGAAACAGTTTTACCGAACAAATTCCAGTATGCGCATTAAAAAGTCATGTGACTTTTTTTGTATGGATGTTTCCCAGCAATGGGTTGCAGCTGAAAGGGCATCCGCTGTGTAAAACATATGCTGGATAAGTTAGCGGTTCATTCCACTGTGGTGGCCACAGAATAATAAAGGGATTAAGCCGAAAAGAAAACGAATAACATAATGTTCACATAATGCTTTACTTTTAGTGTTGAAGTAGTTATACTCAATAGCAGTGATAATCAATGCTTAGGTCTATTTAGCACAGAATATTCTGATTATTAACACTATATGTTGTGATTACATATTAATTTGCTGGGTTTACTGCTCATTCAAAAGTCATGTAGCATTGTTTACTCATTAGCTCATTCATAGTGCTTCTGTGATTTTAAGTATGATGGAAAAAGAGTGATCTTGATTACCTTGAACACAAGTGCTCTTATGAACATGTTAAAGGGGTCATGAACTAAGAAACCAAAATCCCCCTGATATTTTGACTTATGAGAGGTCATAGTACTGTAAAACCATGCTGTAAGTTTAAGAACTCAACTCTTTGTTGTTACTCTAAAAATTGCGTATATTAAAGGCAGTCCACAAAAACAGACTGTTCTACTCTATGATGTAATGAAGAGGATAAGCTCCGCCTCTGTAGAAGATATATGCCCACTTTACTGCCTGTTTAGCCTTGTTATACAGGGTGGGCCATATATATGGATGCCCCTTAATAAAATGGGAATGGTTGGTGATATTAACGTCCTGTTTGTGGCACATTAGTGTATGTGAGGGGACAAACTTTTCAAGATAGGTGGTGACCATGGTGGCCATTTTGAAGTTGGCCATCTTGGATCCAACTTTTGTTTTTGTTCAATAGGAAGGGGGTCATGTGACACATCAACTTACTGGGAATTTCACAAGAAAAACAATGATGTGCTTGGTTTTAACATTACTTTATTCTAAAACGTTACTTTATTCTATCATGAGTTTTTTACAAGTTTTTTACAAGTGTCTGACCACTTATAAAATGTGTTCAATGTGCTGCCCATTGTGTTGGATTGTCAATGCAGCCCTCTTCTCCCACTCTTCACACACTGATAGCAAAACCACAAGAGAAATATTAGCACAGGCTTCCAGTATCCATAATTTCAGGTGCTGCACATCTTGTATGCACATTGAACACATTTTATAAGTGGTCAGAAACTTGTAAATAACTATAAAAGAATAAAGTTACATTAAAACCAAGCACATCATTGTTTTTCTTGTGAAATTCCCAATAAGTTTGATGTGTCACATGACCCCCTTCCTATTGAAAAAACAAAAGTTGGATCCAAGATGGCCGACTTCAAAATGGCCACCATGGTCACCACCCATCTTGAAAAGTTTGCCCCCTCACATACACTAATGTGCCACAAACAGGACGCTAACATCACCAACCATTCCCATTTTATTAAGGTGTATCCATATAAATGGCCCACCCTGTATATGCAAAAGTGTTAGCCAATCACAGCAGTGGGCGATTACTTCTGAGTCAACTGAGTGTTCAGATGAAGGTCAAACACAGCACAGAAAATAGTCAACTACTTCAAAATTACGATGTTATTTGAATGTCAAAGTCTTGATAACATTATAAGTGGATCTCAAAGAATGCTGAGGTAGTTCATGACCTCTTTAATATCAGTAATGTCTCTCATCTGATTGGATAACTAAATAACACAAAGTAAAACCAGGTCAAACAGTGTGTGATCAAGTGTATTTCTCTTTTAAAGAGTTGAAAACTCTCGCTCGGGCCCATAACTTAAATTCAGCGTCTGCAAAATGCCAATATTTAGACGCACGGCCGGCATCCCGCAAATGAAAACAGTAATATGTGCTATTCCACACTCAGCAGGGATATGCATAGCTAACACACGAGCCTAATGTGCCGAAATATGCAAGCCGTAGGACTTCCACCCATTTCCACAGCAAACATCCCGACTAGGTGCAGAGTTTCAATTTTACGCCTTTGTAATTCAAACGCATCCTATTGAACGAAACAACTGTCAGGCTATCAATTCAAATAGTGATCTCAAGTGCAGCGTAGCATTCGGGGAATCTTTTTAGGCCCGTTGCCCTGACACAGACAGACAGCAGAGCCGCTATGCCTGTAATTTATCCATTAAAGGAGCTCTAATTAACAGAGCTGGAACATCTCTGCATCAGCACCGCAGTGAGGGGGAGATTCTGTCACATTGGCAATCGGCTGCCTAGCAACAACCTTAACTGAGAGATGAGAGAAATAAACAGTGGTACTTCTGTAATGCATTACAATATTAAGTTACTCCCCGATGAAAGGCAACTCGTTGGTAAGTAATGTACTACGTTATGTTTGAGTTACTTTTCCTCACCTGGTTGGAGGGGCGAGGGTGGGGGCGTTTAGTTTATTCATGACAGTTTGCACTTGTATAATGTTATTATTATCATTCATTCATTCATTTTCTTGTCGGTTTAGTCACTTTATTAATCCGGGGTCGCCACAGCGGAATGAACCGTCAACTTATCCAGCAAGTTTTTACGCAGCGGATGCCCTTCCAGCCGCAACCCATCTCTGGGGAACATCCACACACACACTCATTCACACACACACACACTACGGACAATTTTAGCCTACCCAATTCACCTGTACCGCATGTCTTTGGACTGTGGGGGAAACCGGAGCACCTGGAGGAAACCCACGCGAACGCAGGGAGAACATGCAAACTCCACACAGAAACGCCAACTGAGCCGAGGCTCAAACCAGTGACCCAGCGACCTTCTTGCTGTGAGGCGAACGTGCCCACTGCGCCACTGCGTCGCCGTTATTATTATTATTAGTATTATTTATAATATGCACATTTATATATTTCTCAGAGAATAACATCATCAGGCAAATAAAGGTTATACAGTGTGTTGTTAATTGCAGCGATCCTTTATTAAGTTCTGAAAGAGATCAAGGGTCTATTTCAACGATCTAGACACAAATAAACAAAAGCAGGTGGGGTTTTGGAGATGTCTATATCATCATATGGGGCATAAGAGCAGGACGTGTGTTTGGATATAACTCAGTTTTCTGACCACACTTCATTATTATTATTATTTATTTGCTGGAGATTAAATCTGAATTTAGAAATAGTTTTGAAATGAATTTTCGCTAAACAAACTAAATTAAATATGTGGGCTAATGGATGTGTTCAGAGGAAAGTAAATGAAAGTAAAGAGAAAGTAAGGAGGCTGAATGGAGGAGGCTCGTTCTTTATTCTTGCGCTGCAGATGCTCTGTTTAACTGTTTTCTCGCTAGTAAAGCAGTTTTTACACTTATCTTCATGCCGTATACAGATAATTGAAAGTTAAGCAATGTTTTTGCTGCTTTTGTTCTTTTTGTCCTATTAGTGAAGTAAAATAATTGACCTTTGAGACTATAGTCCTCTTTTCCTTTTCTTCAATATGTTTAAAGTCATAAACACATTCTCTCATTGAGTGTGTGATTTTTAACATAACTTCACAATGCATTTTAAAAAGTAACTTTTTTTAAGTAAGGCATTACTTTTAAGTAACATATAATGCTTTACCCCCAACATTGTAAATAAATAAGTAAATAACAAATATCTAAAAAAAATATATAAATAATTGATCATCCTTATCTTTTTTAAAAGCTAAATAATTAAACTAAAAAGTAACTTGCATTACTTTTTTAAGTAACTTAAATATTATTGCTTAATTTTTTTAAGTAATGCTTTACTCGTTACTTAGAAAAGTAACATTACTTGTAATGCATTACCCTTAACACTGTAAATAAATAAATAATATATAAATAATGATCCTCATCCTTTTAAAAAGGTAAATAATTAAACCAAAAAGTCATCTGCATTACATTTCTTTTAAAACAGTAACTCATATATTACTGCTTAATTTGTTAAGTAATGTGTTACTTCACTCTTTACTTAGAAGAGTCACATTATTACATAACATGCGTTACTTGTAATACATTTCCCCCAACAAATAAATAAATATATTTGAAATAAATACAGTCGAAGTCAAAATGATTCGCTCTTATGTGAATTATTTTTTCTTTATTACACATTTCCTAAATGATGCTTAACAGATTCAGGAATTTTTCCGTAGTATTTCTTATAATATTTTTTCTTCTGGAAAAAGTCTTATTTGTTTTATTTCAGCTAGAATAAAAGTCGTTTATTTATTTATTTATTTATTTATTTATTTATTTATTTATTTATTTATTTATTTATTTATTTATTTATTTATTTATTTATTTATTTTTATTATTTTTTTATTTATTATCAATATTATTAGCTCTCTTAAGCAATATATTTTATTTTATTGTCTACAGAATAAACCATCATTGCACAATGTCTTGCCTAATTACCTTAACTTTACCTTAATTAACCTAATTATGCCTTTAAATGTCACTTTAATTTAAATACTAGCAACTTGAAGAATATCTAGTCACATATTATGTGCTGTCATCATGGCAAAGAGAAAAGAAATCATTTAGTTTTAGAAAGTTTTAGAAATGTGCTGCAAAACAGAACAGAAATTGGGGAAAAATATATACGGGAGGGTGAATAGTTTTAAATAAATAAATCATTCTCACCTTGGACAGGAGAAAACCCCCAGTAAGGCCGCAGGACGCCGGAAACAAAAACAAAACAGAATAAGTTGTGTGGAGTGAAGAGAATGGGAAGGGAGGTGGGACCGAGCCCTGTGTTATTGCGATATGGAGTCGTCCTCTTTGACGGATTTCCCATATTCTGGGTTTAAGTCCACCACCGTGGTTCCTCTCAGAGCCCCGTATCCTCCCTCCATTCCATGGGATCCTTCTTGTCTTTCGGACCCCAGCGGGACGGATGGTTTATTAGCGGATCCAGAAGACGAGCGTGGCGGAGGACCGGATGTCGCCCCCTGCTGGCCACCGTTGGTCTGGGAGCAAACATTACTAACCCGGGCTGCTTTCTGCTTGTAATGCTGGCTGTGGAGTTTATATTTCATCAGCAGGATAAAGATGAAGACGAGGACTGACGCTACGATGATGCCGCCGATGACGATGATCATGGTGCCGCCGAGGAATTGATCGTGGATGGAGCGGCAGTGGCGAAATTCACGCTCTGTGGTGAATGATATGCAGCCGACCATTCGTGTGGCGGTTAGAGACGTGATCCCGTCGTCATACACGGCCAGAACGCAGAGCTCGTAGTCACGGGACGAGGCCAGATCGCTCAGCAAGAAGCGCTTGTGGGAAGCAGGAATCATTCTGAGGGGAAAAAAAGAAGAAATTATTGTTAATAGATTTATTAACCCATAAATTTAGGAGTGCCAAAGGGGGTTTGGGGGGGGGTGCACTGGGGTCAGTCTTTCTCCCTTTTGTCTGTGTGTTTGTTTTGCCTCAGTGGAAATTAGGGCGTGCCCAATCGCAAACTCCCATTTTTATGCAAATTTTTATGCTCCTTCCCACTTACCCACCCCGACACTCCCATCTAAACAGAGCTGGACACGCCCACTTTCCTGACTTTTTCCAAACTAGAGAGTCAGGACCTCCGTTTAACGTCTCAACTGAAAGAAGCTCGTTAGTTTACAGATATGTTTTACAGTGTAGTTCAGGGTACATATTTGTCAGTTCTCAAACATGCAGCCCTGGGCACATATCTCCAGTGAGGCTGGCTGGATTATTGTGTCCCTCTGCACTTGCATGTTTTCATCTTTAATTGAAGCGTTTTTAAGTGGCTAATTAAGCGGCAGACAGTGAGCCGACAGGGTCTGCGTGCCAAGAAGAAGAGCTGCGAGCCTCTCCTCTGTTTCCAGCGCAGGAGTTTCCCCTCGATATCTCCATCAAACGCTCGGCTCATTAACACATGACACTGAGCTCAGAGCGCCTTACACACGCTGACAGCACGGTTAACAGACGACAACGAGAGTGTGAGAATAACCATGCAAACACACTTCAGTGATAACAGGACAGCCTGAACACACACATTTACAGTTAACACTTTACTATGAGGTTACATTCCTGATGTCTTCATTTGTTATTGGCACATTTATTGATCAGTGTGTGTGTGTGTGTGTGTGGAGGATTCAGAATGAAAATACAGGCCGACACACTGCTGACCACATTTCATATGTGGCTGTTTGTCAATAGCAATCAGAAAGAGCAGCGTGTGAGTGTGTTCACACACACATACACACAAACACACACACACACACACACACACACACACACACACACACACACACACACACACACACACACACACAATTACCCTCACAGAAGACCTGGAGCTCGCCAATTACACTCGGGTCAAATGCAGAAACACACGGTCAAGCTCAGGGTCACAGGAACACACAACACACCCATACACACACGCAACACCCTCATACACACACACACACACACACACACACACACACATTTACAGAAGCCCGCATGCACACACACACCTATACATACACAAACACACTGACGGATATTCACACAACACGCACTTAAACACACATGCACACATTCACACAACACACAACCATGCATGCACACACACCCTCACACAACACACAGTCCAACACACACTCACACACACAAACAAACATTCACACAACCATGCACGCACGCACGCACGCACACACACACACACACACACACACACACACACACACACACATTTACTCACTAAAACACACGCACACACACACACATTAACTCACTAAAACACACGCATACACTCAAACACACACAGACAAACATTCACACAACCAGCAAACACACACACACACACTAACTCAAACACACGCACACACACAAACAAACATTCACACAACCATGCATGTGCACACACACACACACACACACACACACACACACACACACACACACACACACACACACACATTAACTCACTCAAACACACACACACACACACACACACTCACACACACACACTAACTCACTCAAACACACACACACTGAAACACACACATACATACATTCACACAACACTCATATACAAAAGCATGCATGCACACACACACTTAAACACACACACACACTCACAGATATTCACAGAACACACACTTAAACACACATAAGCATAAACAAGACACTCAAACACACAACCATGCATGCACAAACACCCTCACACAACACACATTCACACACACAGTCCGACACACACAAACAAACATTTACACAACCACGCACACACACACACACACACACACACACACACTAACTCACTCAAACACATGACACACTCACACACACATACATACGTTCACACATCACACTCAAACACAAAACCATCAATCCACACACATACTCATATACACAACACACACGAAAACACACACATAACAAACATTCACACAACACACTCAAACGCACAACCATTAATCCACACACATACTCATACACACAACACACACAGTTCAACACACACATAACAAACATTCACACAACATACACACTCTCTCTCTCTCTCTCTCTCTCTCTCTCTCTCGCTCTCTCTCTCTCTCTCTGATTGAGTCAGCATTTTCCTTCTCTTCTGCTGTGTAATTTGTAAAGAATATCCTGCATAAAATAGTAAATCTCTTTATTTATTTCAGTAAATCAGCAACTCATTTCTGAGAATACACACTGAAGCGTCTGCATTATTGAAGCAGCCGCTCTACTGTTAGCCTGTGTTTTACAGCAGTGTTCAGTGACCTGTGATCACTTTACCACAGGCTATGCACAGGTATGCCTCTCACATGAAGCTCTGTGTTTTATTTAGAGCCAGTAGAATCCAGCTGCAGCTGTACAATGAATATAAGATGAACTTCAACAAGCAACGAGTACAGGCGTTATATAGGTGAAAGTGCTTTCTCTGTTAAATTGTTGAAATCATTAAAGGTGCAGTAGGTGATTCAGAAACATGAACACTTCTTGTGCTGATTGAAAGTCTCTTCACATTGCAATAGTTCTGATTAAAGTAAATGATCTAAATGTGTTTATATATATGTTTATATTCTGGGTAAGGCAGTTGAAAGCAGACGTTTACATACACTGTAATTAAAGGCGCATACCCATTTAAAAAAGTCAGATGTTAATATGACTAGGTAAGTGAGAATGATCACGTGTTTCTGTTCTGCTTAATAGCAGAATAATGAGAGAGATATTTCTTGAGAAATTGTCTTGAAAGTCAAGTTTACACACAATAAGATTATTCTGCCTCTGGATAAGCTCAGATGATGATGTCGAGGTTTTGGAGGTTTCTGATTGGCTAATTGACTACATTTGAGTTCATTGGAGGCTCAACTGTAGAATAGTATTGAAGGAAAAGCTCAAACACACTGCTTCCTCGTGTGACAACATGGGGAAATCAACAAGCCAGAATCAACAACAAAGCCAGATTACAATTAGCTAAATGACACTGGGAATAATGTTTGGAGACATGTCCTGTGCTCTGATGGAGCTAAGATTGAACTGTTTGGCCATAATGACCAGTGTTACATTTTGAGGACGAAGGGGAAAGCGCACAAGCCTAGCACACCATCCCAACTGTGCAGTATGGGGGCGGCAGCATCATGTTGTGGGGCTGTTTTGCTGCAGGAGGGACTGGTCCACTTCACAGCATAGATGGCATCATGAAGAAAGAGCATTATGGAGAAATACTGAAGCAACATCTCAAGATATCAGCCAGGACATTAAAACTTGGCCACTAATGGCTCTTCCTAATAGACCATGACCCTAAGCATACTGCCAAATGAGTTCAAATGTGCTTTAAGGACAGCAGAGTGAATGTTTTGGAGTGGCCATCACAAAGCCCTGATCTCAATCCTATAGAGAATGTGTGGGCAGTGTTAAAAAAGCTTGTGCGAGTAAGACAGCCTACAAATCTGACTCAGTTACAGCAATTCTGTCAGAAGGAATGGGCCAAGATTCCTTCAAACTATTGTGAGGAGCTTGTGGAAGGAGACCCAAAACATTTAAGCAAAGTTATACCGTTTAAAAGCAAAGCTAAAAAAATACCAAGGAAATGTGTGTAAACTTTTGACTGTCTAGAAATTAATAAGAATTTCGGTCCCACTTTATATTAAGTGGCCTTAACTAATATGTACTTACACAGGAATTAATAGTTTGCTACATGTACTTATTGTGTAAACACATGCATTTATTGTGTACTTAAATACCTGTATGTAATTACATATTTAATTAACTTCTGTAATTACTTTTGTAAATACACTGTTGACCATCCCTTACACTTTAACCCACCCTTAAACCTACCCATACCACCAAACCTGTCCATAACCCAACCCCTATCCCAACTCAAGAGCACCACAAGTGTTCTCAAATATATTATGAACACAGTAAGTACATTGTATTTATTTTTTGATGCAAGTACATAGTAGTTAAGGTCACTTAGGGTGCTTTCACACCTGTGAATCGATTCAGTTGTTCCGAAACAGAGATTACAAATGTTACATTGTTGCTCTTTGCTCTTGGAGCGGTTCGCTTTCACACTGCAAAGTTTCTAATCGGACCAAAAGAGCTAAAACAAGTCACGTGTGAGTAAACTCTCCTTACATTGGTCAGAGTGTCAGGGTGCACGACGTGTCTGAGGAGAGACGCGGTGGGGAGGGGTGAGAAGGGTGCGCGACGATGCCTATTTGAGGACCGGGAGGGAGATGCAAGATTACCGGGAGATCATCACTCGTTTGCGGGCATCCGGAGACTCGCGAAACTTCCCACCCTACTCATAATTCTCTCTTCATATAGCCGTAAGCCTATTATATATTCATAAAACACTGTGATATAACCGCGCTCGGACCGTATCGCTTTCTCACTGCAATCGAACTGCTCCAGGGTTCGTTTCAATCGAGCCGAGACCACCTCATTCAAGCGATCTCTGAGCGATTACTTTGGCCCGGAACAGAGCGCGATTGCCCTGTTCACATATGCCAAACGAACCGCGCTAACTGGGCAAACGAGACACGTTCCGAAACAAAAGTGTAGGTGTGAAAGCACTCTTAATATAAAGTGGGACCAGAAATTCTCTAAAAAAAAACAAATTCTCTCGTTATTCTGGCATTTAGCAAATGTAAATCATTTAAATAATCCAAACGGACCTAAAATAGTGAACGTTTAGTGATTCACCATCAGACATTTCTTTTACAAAATGGTTGTGTTCCTTCTGTGTGTAAACTCCTGCTTTCAACTGTAAGACTAAAAAGTGTTCATCAGGAGTCGCCAGCATGTTTAATGCACAGATGAACTAAACCAGCAAT